TTGGTGCGAAGCAGCGCCACCGGCCTGAGCTCCACGTAGCAAATGAAAACAGCACAGACGTCTCCATTGAGTATCACACAACCTTGATGGACTAAGACAAGGCCGATTCCGTACCTTAACTACTAGACATGCGATGAGGTGCTTCAAGTTCCTTGTGATAGCCAATGCCAGATGCCGTCGTAGTGACAATTTAACAAATTCACCCTCAGGTTAAATGCAATCCACTGATGTGTTTTTAGGCGTTTTCACATAGTTATTTTCCGTGTCAAGGTGTAATCTCGCAACTGCAGCAGGATTAACACCTATTCCCACTGTCACACAGAACCCGTCACGTCACCTCCCCTCGTCGTATCAATGCCTAGAACCTGACCCCCACGGTGTCAACTAAATAAATGTGTGATTGTGTTACCACCGTTTTTAGGCTCCGAAATCACGATAATACCATGACCTATTATTACTGTTATTCATAGTTATATTGTACTCAAATAGGCCTCACTTTAATTAGTTCAGTATTAGAAACTATTTCGGTTAATTTGCTGATCTAATTTAGTTCAATCAACTTTTCTCCCCCGACTTGTTTCTCAGTTTTTAGATAGGCACGTATCACAATGCTTATTAAGTATTTTGAAAGCCCAAAACCCCATTTCCTTCCTTCGGTTTTATCATGAATAACCAGCACAGAGAAACTTTACAATAAGTATTCTAAAAATCATTCTCCTTTAGTTAGATTTCACGCATTTGTACAAAATTCGTTTTAAAGGTAGTCAGTATTATAAGGCTGAATGTTTCTTCGTTATTTCCGTATTTCACAGTATGTCGAACGGTCTCAATCATAACTACCAGAACCATATATCATGAAGACATTGCTAAACTGAAAGGAAATGATTAAAATCTTTTAGGATGAGAGGACCTGTGCATGCATACCGAGGTTTAATCGAAAATATTGTTACGAAAACTGCGAGTTCGCACCTATAGGGATATCAGGTGACAATATCGATTCAAGTTATCGTTACTGACGCCGATATGTTTATTAATCCCTCATACCAACTTCACATATTTGCATTGGCTTAATCAACGTTTCTGCCAGCTTTGCTTTTGTCCTACCTAGTTGGTCCATCGAGTCAGATCGAAACGCGACAGCCTCAGTACGACAGTTGCCCATTTTAGGGACTGGGATTCATAGTCGGAGCCTCGTAACTCCAATCAACGGCTTTGACAATGATCGTTTTACTATTGTTCGAAGCTTAATATAAAACCTGTGCCACCAAAATGGCGTAAATCTATCACTTTTGCTGCTATTTCGTAATGCCTTTCCTCACACAAGTTCACATCCTCTATTACGCTCGTCACGAGCTTGCTGGCTTAACCTCCCGGGTAAAAACAGCCGTGCGAGGCAGATCAGACCAAGTGATGCGACTAACTGTGACGTAATTAAAGAGAAACCCTATTCGAAGATGCCACGCGTTTTCTTGAACCATGAATGCTAATATGCACACCGGTTTCCATCGCTTGTTGTTTCTTTGTCTGATTGAGTGCCTCGTGGTGCCCAAGTAAAACAGAAATGCGTTTAAGGTAGCTAATTTTTTGCATAAATTTATTCACGTCTCACAAAAATTATGAACGGTTAGAGCAGACAGCACCAAACAAGATCAAATGATTCTTCAGTGTAACTGTTCCTGACTTGTGCGAAATTCCTACAGACATAGTGAAGCGGCATATTTAAAGCACCATCCGCACAAATTAATTGCATGCTTCTGTGGCCATTTTAAGTGTGGATAATTAGCCACAACAACCCGATTTCTGAGGCAGCCTCACGATGGTCTGTTTAGCACCCACCCGACACCACTTATTACAATCCAGCCAGTCATTGTGTGCCTTTGCAGTGGCGTTTTTGCCTTGATGATTTGCTAAATGAGCAATTTGGGGGAGTTGGTTAATGAGTTGAGTCATTGTAAAACCTCTACGTAGATTCAAACTTAGACACACACACAAGCGTGACTTACGATGCATTATTTTTCACCGCAGAACGCCTACGTGCTGGCAGAATCACAAGTGAAAGTAATTTTCCTGCAATTTCTTTTTAGTCGATGAAACTGACCTATCAGATTTACACTGGTCGGCTCTAGAGAAATTATGGGATGGAAATTCAACTGCACGACGCCCTCGGGGTTTGAGAAACACCACTGTAGTATTTTTTTTCATTTGGGAATTCATCAACCACAAAGTCTTGATAACGGCGTAAAAAGATTGCTGTAAAGCGAAGCAATCGCACAATCTTGTCAATTGGATCATCTACATGACGCGAAAAAGGTCGGCCTTGCAGCAAAAATAACCTCTCAACATCATCCTTAGGAACTGTATTTATCACCCTTGGAACGATAAGTGTTTCGAGGTAATTTAGGAATTGTGGCCTTATGAATTCGTATTTAATTACTTTTGATGAAGGCTATTACCCACAATTTTTGCAAAATTGTTCATTTATTAACATTTCGATAACAAAAAGTTTCCTTGTACTTTGGTGAAAAAAGGAAAGTGTATTTAGCTTTGGAGTGACGTATTATAGAGCAGTATAAAAATGTTGACAGGCTTGGCTTTTACTTGAGGAAGAAGGCCGCGGCCTTTGCACGATGATAGTGCTATTCGATGCAATCCTATTCTACTAACAAATAATAAGTACTTATTTTAATATTGATACAAAATGTGATGAAAATTATCATTTATACCGGAAATAGCTAATTGCGCTCTAATGTTAACATCCATCTCTAAAAAATTTCTACACAATAAAACAGACCGTCATTAGAAGACTTAAATGCTGAAGCATCGCTGTAAACACTATGGATGGCATAAACAGATAATAACCGACCGGTGCCTATTTGTGAAACCCTTGAACGCGAATATAAACTTTGTTGCTTTTGTCTAAATTCACAAATCTGAGGCCGACTTGACTTTTTGCTTGCAGCTAATCAAGCGAAGTGGTTTAAACTGACCAACTCACTGCTTCCAAACCTTGTGAAAAGGAGATATCTCAGCTTTCACATCGCTCACTTAAACATAATTAAAATATCTGTCGAAGTGCTCACAGTCAAGTAGAGTTTGTGACGCCTATGACAGGTTTCAAACACTTAATGGATGCAGTAAAGCCTCTTTGCCTAACAACAATTTTTCGAAGATCGGAACAAAGCGATTTACTGAACCTCAGATGATTTTCTACACCTTGGTTTGTGCAAAGAAATTACGCAAACATGACCCGAAGGACTTGAGCGTTCATCGAGGAGATGCGTATTCCAAAAATATCCTTCTGTTTTGAACATAATGCTAGTCTTGATCTTCATTTGGAACTTGCAACCAAACAACTTGCACTCAAATGCAGCAAGTGCTTGACTATGTGCCCTGACAGTCGTGTCACCTGCCCCGAACAACTAATTTTGGTTTTGGGCCACCGCACCAATGACGCCAACAGCAAGCTGGCCGACGCACGACTCGAAGGTCTGCGGGACGCGACGGTCGCCTGGCGCCTTCTGATGGTGGCTTGGGTGTCGGCGGAGTTCAAAATCAAATAGATGAAAACTGGTGCTTTTAATCTTAATTTGTTTCACAAGTCCGGTTTAAGTGAACTCGTGAAGCAAAATATGCGGACTCGACTGTTTACATTAGAAGAAGGTAAATAAAGGCCTATTTGGGGGGGGGCGGGGTTGGGAGAGGCAGGTTTTCCCCTCCTTCACTGGAGAATGTCACACACGCACACACATATACGCAGACATACACTCCTCCCTGTCTTAACTGTCGCATAGATGCACCTAGCAATAGCCGCCGTGATTTATGCGCAAGGTTACTGTTTTGGGAGAAACGCTGGTTTTGGCTAATAGGCAGTAACATGTTTTGGTGCATACGGAGTTAGCTTAGTGGAGGCCTTTGTTTCACCCAGGCGCTCTAAATTTGCTGTTGAGACGCGCTGGTGCACCACTCGTGGTCCAATTGCCCGCTGCATTTGACAACATGGGGATGCATTGCTTTGTTATCAGAAGTTCAATTTGTGCATTAAAATAAAGTCGATAGTCAGTGTGCTGCAAGTTTCCATTTGAGATTCTTGAAGGAGCTCGGAGCTCAGACCAACTGCAGCACCCTTGCTGAGGCGCGGCACACTACCATGTCATGATTTGCCATTTTGACAATTTTAAAAGACCTTGAGTGTACAATACAAGCTTCCTTCAGCAAGTAATGAAACCATAAAAATAGAACTACATTAAATTTGCATGGTTGAGCCCGGTTGCCGAATCGCATAAATGCTTTTCTAGGCACCTCTACCGCTGCGTGAACTCGTGAGGAGAATTGCAAAATCGGACTTTTGCAGCTTTGGTGCATTGTTCACAAAGTGGGGCGCTAAGACTAAGCAAATAACGAGCTCCTCCTGGGTTGTCCACTTTCACCACGATTATAACAAGCCTCTAAAGTTGCCTGTAATCTCCAGGTTTCACTATGCTCATCGCGAAAATACTCTTTCACGAGAAATACACGACAAGCGGGTTGACAAAGAAGGTAAACTCTTCCTACAATGCTCAATATGCAAACACGGTGTATCGGACTGATAACTACTCGAATCCAAACCCATCACTTGTTACCCCTCTGTCATGTGGGGCAAATCGCAATTCAATGACAGAGCTGTGTGACTTTCTTTGATAGTAGAACGAGGGGGATTCGAAGTATCTCATGGTTTAAAGGATGAATTTGGCGTTAGCGAATGGAATATAAACTGGATTGAAGTTTATGCAGAATGATGAATTTCGCATTTACAATTTTGTCTTGCCATTGGAGTACAAATATGTGAAAAAAAGGCATAATTCTCACCCTAGAAATTAAATCTGCTGTGTTGGATGAACTAAGGAAAAAGAGCAACGCCTTCGCTCAACTATTTCGCATAATGATGTCTTTGCGTGACGGCATTTTTTAGCCATTCCGGCGTAAATTCTGTGGCTCACATGCATGTGATAGACGATCGCGACCATTACTATCTGCGTTATGAATTTGAGGATATTTGAAGGCACGGAGGAATGTCAGTCGAGGGATTTGACAGAAAGACCATTAATAAGGTGGATCTCGATCATTATTTCCACCAGCAGCAAACAGTTTGATGGACGACTGCGCAAGTAAACATCAGGGCCAGTTCATGGCATGAACAAAAGTCCAGATTGGAAAACTTGGCGTAGTCGTAGCACATGATCCATCGAGGTGGCAGGTAAGTTTCAAGAAACCGATCAGCGGGCGAGGAGTTATCATAGAATCGCGAATGTTGCTATGACTCTTTCTTTAAATGACAGCGTCGCAGCACGCCGCCAGCAGCACGGATCCTCAACTCCCCCTCATTAGCACGAACATTTATCCTGGATTATCCTCACACCTAGGTCCCGACGTTAGCGCCTGTATGACACACATCTGAGGTATAAATACACACGCGCAAACCCCACACACGACACGACATGGCACCAACGTGGTTGAGTTCTGAAGTAAACGGTTGTGTTCACGTTCTCTCAGGTCTTTTTCTTCATCGCGGGTATCAGGGAAACATGATGGGGCCAGGGTTAATTCCGTGGCCTCGGCGTGGTTCAAGACCACATGCTGGGGTCCATAACAGCCTAATGCCGCTAGCCAAACACCTTCACAGAGCCAACATTAACTAAGCTCGTTAGACTTACCTTTCTATCACACCAATTTTAGCTAGATGAGATCGCAATTTTTAAGGAACAAATAGACTCTGCTTTGGGCCCTGTCAACAAACTTAGGCATGTTATCGCCTTGGATGATCGTGTTGAGCTTGTTCACCCTGCGTGTCGCACCCTAACTCACGGCCCCTCCCCTGCCCTGCGCTGCGACTTGGGTATCTGAATTGGCGTGTGCATACAAACAACGACTTCCTGTTTTCAGAGGTACTCTTCAACTAGAACTGAATGGGAGGGTAACTGCAGAAGATGCGCTATTCGTTTTTAAAAGAGAATCAACGAAACTGACCGTGACTAAGGCAGCACGTGAATTTTTATATCTCACAGTACCTTTTTTATTTTTTACACATATATACGTGAAAACCTTGCTAGATACTATAGAAAATTCAATAGCCTTTCAAATTAATTTACGTCTTTCAGGAGGCGCATCGCAAGACTTGGTATGATCCAACCTTAGGTGCGTGCAACCACACTCGCAGTAATTTCGATTTCCCCACGCTAGAACTGCAAGCGACGACATCCACATTGGTTTTACTCCGGATGCCTGCGCTAAAACAGCATCGGAATCGGTTAAAGCAATTCCCGGAGAAAGTTACAGCCGAAATTTCAGACTTTTGATGAAGGGGCTCGGGCAACAGAGAAAGGACTTAATCAAACTTGTACATTATTTAGGATTCCCCAGCACGCCGCGTGGCGCACCGTTGCGTGAACGCCTAATTAGAGTCGAAATTAGTGAAAATCACAGCTCACCGTCATGTTATCACAGATTTTTGAGTAAAGTAAAGGGCAATGATGTCTTTGTTGCAATTGGAATTGACTTCAGAAAGTGTATTATTGAGTGACAATTACCCCTTTACTTAAGTCACAATTTTGTTTAAACTTCTCCAAATTTATAAGATAAAACAAGCCCTGTTTATTGGAAAAGGTACCTTAAGAGAAGCTTGATCTTTCAAATTGGCGGGAGTAGCTAAAAGGTTAGGGGTCTGAAGAGGAACAGTCAGGAATGGGGGCTGCGGTGGCGGTGGCGCGTGAGTGGGAGTTGCGGCTGCCGACGACGCGCAAGCTGCCGGGCGGCGTGTGTGTGTGTGTGGCCGCTGGTGGATAGAGCATTGCAGACGGTGTTTAGGGCGCGCTGAATTGAAATATGGGCTGATCAAAATTAATTCGCAGCTTATTTGGGCGTTAGCTTGTTCACTTTCACCCAAACAATCCAGATGCACATTAGCGCTTATTGAAAGTAGGTCTCACTTTGCGATTATACCCCTGAGCATGGTTTGTTAGCAATCGTCCTACGAGTGATTTATGTGCTTGTTATTCATCCTTAAGTTGATGTCTGTTAGTGGCAGGGTTAATTTAAATTGGGAACCTATAAAGTTCCTGGACAGTCAATGAGATGTTCTACGACAAGGATACGACTGCGTGTAATACGAGTTTAAGCGCGTTCGGAAAAAAATGACAATCGATGCTGCTTGAGTATGAATGATGCAGATATTTCTAGTCAAGTTTTGGAGTTAAAACCGAGACGAAAGACAAAACACGAAGCAGACAACTTTACGTGTTGATACAGACAAATTCAGCGCCACTTATGTAAAGCCTCATTCAAGCCAAGCGCACACACGCGGTCTCCACACCCGACGGGACTGCGGACATTCGTTTTTCCTTCCAGCCATAGGAATGAATTGAACGAAATAAAAACATGCTTTATAATTCGATAGTTACCTATAGAGTGAAATAACACCCTACGGCCTACTTTGAATTTAAGAAAATCAGGTTTTTAAAAATAATTATCAATCGAGCAGACGGAAGACTCTTTAAAGTTTTTTTAACATGCATATTTTAATAGATGAAGTATGGTTTACTGTGGTGAAACCGGAAAAAACAAAGCACAACATTGGCTTATAGTCGCATGTCGACCAGATAATTTACACTGGACTTTTTTCGAGTAGCACTGATTTTGTTGTTTTCTCACCCACCATGCTACAACACTATGTGCGATTCTTGAGGTTGTAGCCTCAGAGGCACCAATGGATCGACAACCCTATTTGACTTCATTTCTTAACTATGGTATGTGATTAACACCATAGTTGCATTAGGGTACAGCCCTTAACACACAAACTAACTACGTCACCACATGTGCCTTCAGCAACTAAAGTACCGCCACTCTTAATCCACTGGTTCCCAGTTCACACTCACACGCACAGACAGACAGACAGAACTTGGGCGCAGGTCACATGGATATTCACGCCAAAGTCGTGACTCCCTCACTGACAACATTGCAGTCTGCCCCAATCACGAAGACTGGCCCCAATTCAAGGGCCATAAATCCCTCCAGTCCAGACAGCATTCAGTGCCATTTTAAACGGCCAGTCGACGCGGTGGTAAGTAATGTTCACGTGTCCAGAGTCAGGTCAACGCGATCACACCGTGTTTCCCACGGTTCGATAGGGCAGCATGTTAGGCTAGGTCGTCTGTGTGTGGATGAATGCCAGAGAACCAATCGCCACATAATGCAGAGCCCATGGAAATAGTGAAATAGAGATTGCTGATGGGGGTGAATTGGGGTGGGGTGGGGT